TGTGACTCTGACTCTAGCAACAAAAAGAGTTTAGAGAAAAGAGATGTCAAGCGAAATGGGTGGTTCTAAAAAGTATTAACGCAGGAGTTGGGCCTGGATCTGGTTCATGAGTAAGAAGACGACTTAGAAGTGAAGTCTGGGAGTGGGCAGCAGTATTTATAATGGAGCAAAGGAGGGCCCAGCTGGGCCCACCCTGCAGCCTCAGGGGAAGGGCACGTGAGGAAGCCCTTGGAAACACGTCCAGGAAGGCCTGGGCTGTGAAAGGCACAGAAGATCTGGAGGGGAGGTCAGATCATTGCAGCAAGAGCCCCTGCAGGGGCCTGGGCAGAGAGCTGTGTGCACGTGCCCACAGCACACCACGTACTGTTCTTCGTGTAGAAGCATGAAACGAGGGGCAGGCTGCTTTTCTCTCCTTTAGCTCAGTTGCTCAGTTTCCATCAGGACCTGGTCACTAATTTTCCAAAATTCAGTAAAGAGGTGATTCCACCAGCCCCTTATAACCAACAGGAGCCATTGTGAAGCACACTTCAGAGCGGATCTGCCGAGCAGGCCTGCCCACCGGGGCACCAGGACTGGAGCAGCCCACGTGAGGAGGCATTTGTCTCTGTGGGTGCGCTGTGCCCAGATCTGATAATTGCTAATTCCATAGCTAATTCCACCCAATATTAGAGGGGCTCACGTTTAATTAAGGAGTGGCCATTTGTATGCTCCACGCTGGAGGTCCCTGTGGCCCTGGAGTCAAAAGAAGAGTCCTTCCGGGAATACACCAATCTTTTCTTATTTCCTCTACTGAGCTCCCGCCCTCTTTGAATGCAATTATGGGAACAAATAAAATGGCTTAACTCAATTCCCCTGTGTCACAGGCAGCTCTCTGCTGATAAAACCAGTTGTGTGGGCAATCATTAAATGAGAAATCTAATATTTAACTAAGTTTAATAATCTATTGCTTTGGTGCTTTTCTATGAAGGGTAGGATTTCAATAGAGAGAAACCAGCTATTCAAATGCAACCTACATCATCAGTGAGTGATTAGAACACTGTGTGTCCCCACAGAGAGCCAGAGCTCAGAGATCCAGGACTGGTAACAGGGTGTTGGCAGTGGCAAGCTGTGTTCTCATCCATTCCGGGCAAGCTTAACTCAGAGAGCAGCAAAACAGTGTTACCTCCTGAGCAGGAAATTGCTCCTTCAGGGTCAGCATTTGAGATTGCTGAGTAATGCCAAAAACAAACAAACAAACCCATTGCTGTCGAGTCAATTCCAACTCATAGTGACCCTATAGGACAGAGTAGAACTGCCCCATAGAGTTTCCAAGGAGCGCCTGGTAGATTCGAACTGCTGGCCTTTTGGTTAGTAGCTGTAGCTCTTAATCACTACGCCACCAGAGTTTCCTGACTAATGCCAGAAACATAAAATTCAGATGTATACATATGGCAATAGCACATTATATTAAACTACGAAAGGGTCTGTCCCAATTCTTTTTCATTTTGAAGTTTAGTAATTCGATCAGGCCCTGCCCCCAGCAAACCTCACCCACTCAGGACACTCACAGTTGCTTCTTCTGTGAGAACACTGGACCCAGCATTGTTCTTGTTGGTAAAAACATTCTACATCTGCACCAGTTCGTTCCACTGATCTTCATGAGTTACCATTTCTATAGTCTGGCACACCCCAAGTCCCTTCCTGTTATCTCCCTGGGCCTATCACATAGGCAGATGTAGTGGAAAGCTCGAAGGTTCTTCTAGGGCTTTCGCCTGACATCCAGAAGAAGGCTGACGGCTTCCAGGTGACCCTCTAAGATATATGCACTGGTCTCCTACGATAAGCTTGGGTTTGAGTCCTCTCAATGACATTCCTCATAATTCCAGCATTAAATACTAACTTATGTATACCTTTAATCTTTCAAGCACTGTACCAGAAAATCAAACCCATTGCCGTTGAGTTGATTCCAACTCATAGCGACCCTATAGGACAGAGTAGAACTGCCCCATAGTTTCCAAGGAGCAGCTGGTAGATTTGAACTGCCAACCTTTAGCAGCCTGAGCACTTAACCACTGTGCCACCAGGGCTCCTCAAGCACCATAAATGTTTTAATTTAGTTAAAGTGTGCTTTGGTTTCGTTTGGGCTTGTCCCAGGGAGCAGTGGTTTCTTTCTTTAGCGCTTGCCATTCAAGAGGCTGAACCTTAGGAACTTCTAAGAGCCTTTGGGCTTTCTGAAACACCAGGGAGAGCCTCCCAATCCTTTTTCATTTATTCTCTGTCAGAGACTTTCTTGGGGCAGTGAAAAAGAGGCCATGTGGGAACAGGGAGAAAGACTTGGGCCAAAACCCATTACTGTCTGGGGATACTTAATTTTCAGGGTATGAACTGGGTTTCCACAGGTTGCTGGGAACTAGTGGATTTTGTCACTGCAGTGGGACTGAACACTGATACTTACAAAAAAAAGTAGCTGTGCTCCCCAGGAGCCCTGGTGGCACAGTGGTTACAGTGCCAACCAAAGGGTTGGTAGTTCGAACCCACAAGCCGCTCCATGGGAGAGAGATGTGGCAGTCTGCATCCATAAAGATTCACAGCCTTGGAAACCCGATGGCACAGTTCTACTCTCTCTTACAGGTTGCTATGAATTGACTCGATGGCAACTTTTTTTTTTTTTTAATGGATGAGCCAGAATCGACTCAGTGGCAGTATGTTTGAGTTTTTTTGGTTTTATGCGCCTACCCTCTTACATGGCGCAGGACTGGGCAGTGTTTCATTCTGTTGTGCATAGAGTCACTATGAGTTGGAACCAGCTTGATAGCACCTAACAACAACAACAACTCTTACAGATGGGTTCAACTGTACCTGGAGAGGTTGGAGGGGTACCTTGGATAAGATGTTCAGGACTTCTCTTTAAGGAGGTGATGTTTGACTTGAAGGATGAGAAGAAGTCAGCAAAGAGGGTTCTAGACATAGGGAACAGTAAGGATAAAGACCCTGAGGCAGCAAAAACTTGAATACTGTTCTTTTCCTTATCCTTCAGAGTTCCCATCTAGTCTTTCCACCCTATGAATGTGAATAGAACAAGGATAATAAATTGTCACTTTCACAAACCAACTCCTATCAAGTGATTGTGTTTACCGGGGGCATTAAAGGTCTGGGGCCATGTGGCACAGCACCGAGTGCTTGCTCCAGTCTGTTGCCACAGGTGTGGCACAGGGCAGTGGGCACCAAGATGGCATGTACTTATGAGTCCTAAGAGAGAGTACTCCTTCCCAAGTTTTAACACATCACTACGAGGTAGAGTATGTTCATTTTGTTCATCTCTCAAACCAAGTCTCTGAGTCTCAGAATTGAAGTCAAGTCTACTTGAGCTCCCCTGAGATTTTACCACTATGTATACCCCATACAGACATAGCTGTTCCTTCCCATTATTGACAAAGGACACTATTTCCTGCAGGCTACGTGGTGTAAGGATCCTTCCACAGTGGTGCTCCAACTTCAGATTTTATTAACTCAACCTATTTGAAAACTAGCCTCATCATTTCTCCCCTCACCTTTTTTATGAAAGCTAAACATTCAGATAAGTGACCAGCAATTTTTAAAACATTGTTTGTTTTGTTCATTTACTCACAACAAAGTTTCATTAACTCTGGCCCTTTGTAGAAGAAGTTTGCCAGTCCTGCTCATAAACGACCGTTCGGATCCTTGAGTAGTGTTGGTAGCTAAGTGTGCCTTCACAGACAAAATGATTCACTGCCAAAGCCTCCCTGTTATGAGCTACAGTTTAGCCTCCAGGAGCCTTTGCAGTGCATCTGTAGGTGACTGTTGGTTTTGGAGGGTGTTATTGTCTAAAGAAGGTTCAACATTCATTGTAATATTAAAACATTCACAAATTATAACTGTTTCAAAATGATTGGTCAAGCCAAAAGTAGAGTTTCTTGAAGATGAAATTTGCCTTCATTATGAACACAAGTTGTCCCCACATGTAGGCGTAAAGTGAGAAAGGACAAGAGGAAGTAGGAGGGTTCCCATTACATATTAGATGGTGAAAGGAAGGGGAAGGGCCATTTCCGCAGGAGAGTAACAAAGGGGAATGAGGAGGGGGCATCCTTTCAGCTGGAGAAATACATAATGAGGGCAGTGGTATATTGTTACAACCTAAGAAATAAAGACCAAGTACATCTAAGCCACACACAGGACTCACCTGAGCTCCTCTGACAAGGAGGTAGAAGTCCAAGTCCACAAAATTGTTAAGTGTTACCCATATGACTTTAATCAACTAATTCAATCATGCAGAGTCCTGGTGGTGCAGTGGTTAAGAGCTCAGCTGCTAACCAAAAGGTCAGCAGTTTGAATCCACCAGCCACTCCTTAGAAACTCTGTGGGGCAGTTCTACCCTGCTGTATAGGGTCGCTGTGAGTCAGAATTGACTGGACGGCAACAGGTTTGGTTTTGGTTTTGGTAATATAGTCATCCAAATTAAGGTCTCTAAAGACCAGATAACCTTATGTTTTATTTAAGAAATTTGAATCCATTTTTCCTAGAAAGAAATTTAAGGAAGATAACATTTTAGCTTCTATTCTCCTTCCCTTTCCTTCCCTCGTTATCATGGCCACTCTGTTTGGAAATTCTAATCATCCTTACAGCTTTTTGATGTTAGTTTTCCTAAAACCAGCAGTCTTGAGATGAAACAACTACCAAAGCCTATACATATAAGTGAGAAATGCCGTGGAGACCGAAAATCTGCTGGGGGTCGGGTGGATGCGGGGTAGCTTAATAGAGTGGAAAGAACCTTCCATCTGTCCAAGTTCCTGCTTTGAGACTAGACCTTCCACCTACCAGCCATGTAACTTGAGCAAGTTCTTTAGTCTCACTTTCTTTCTCTGTGAAATGGGAGTAATAATAGTTACCTCCAGGACTGATGCAGGTACTCATGGTATGCTGCCCACGAAAACCCACAGCTCCTATAGGTATTCAGTGAATGTTCACTGAACCTGAATTTGTCTTTTTTTCTTTTCTTTCAGAAATTTTTGACCTAGAAACAAACGAACACGTACAGAAGGCTATAAATGATCGACAGATGCCTAAAGTAGAATACAGGAAGATTGAGATTGATGATTATAGTAAGTGCTATGTTTTTTTCCTTTAAAAAAACAATCCAAATGAACAAACTGCTGTTCTGAAATGGCCCAAGGTCAGCAATTGAAGGCTGTGCACAGAAGGCTTTCCTTGGCCCCGGGGCGAGGCAGAGTCTCGTGTGTAGCAGCTAGAGATGCATTCTAGCCAGCACGGGGGTTATCCTGGGATGGAGAAGGAAAGGGTCCTTTGAGTTTACTGCACTGAGCTTATTGTGTCAAAGCCAAGACTCTCACTCTGGTGACAAACAAACACAAAAGGTGGAGCACGTGAGTGTTCTCCAGGCAAGGCTGAAAATTTCAGTAAGTTCCGCACTGAGCTTCTCTCCTTTGGTGAACATGCGATGAGACCATCCAGGAGACACTTCTCACCTCCGAGATTTCCTTTTCTGTGCCACTGGATATCGTTGTTGTTGTTAGTTGTCGTCAAGCCAGCTGCAATTCATGGCGACCTTATGTATAACAGAAGGAAACACTGCCTCGTCCTGTGCCATCTTCATGATCGTTGGTACAGTTGAGTCCATTGATGATATCTTTACTACCTCATTATTTTACCTCTAAATGCTGATATACCCTAAAGCTCAGTACTTAACCCTTTGCCTTTCTTTGTCTGGGTCCTTTTTTTCTCTTGAACTGTTCACTCATTCATTCATTCAGTAAACTTTTATGAGTGCCCACTCTGTGCCGGGCACTGCTAGGTGCTAACGAACCCCAGGAGTGGTCTGGAAATGAACTCCCGTTACTAGATGGGACAGTGTCCTCTTAGCTTCCACTCTCATCTCTATGCAGCCTATCAATCCCTGTGGTCCTCACTGCCTATGAGATATTTACCCTCAGATGTAAAATGCCCCCCGTAAAGATCATTGTCTTCCCCCAAAACTACATCCCTTTCAGACTTTCCTGCTTCTGTGAATAGCACCATTTCTGTTTCAAATGTAGACTTCAAACCTCTGAGTTATCTTTGAGTAGTTTATTCAGATACCATCTAACCACCATCTCTGTGGTTGCTAAGTAAGTTTCATCTCCTGTGCCAACTCTGACTGACTAGTAGTAACTGCCTGGAGCTCTGTGTTGAGGAGTAGAAGGTTGCCAGGGCTCCATGGAAACGATTGTCAAGATTGATTAGTAATGCCTGACCTGAAAGAGAACAGGGAGGAGGAGTTGCTCACGAGCCCTGTATCTGCCACCTCTGGAAGCTCTGTCTACTCATTCCATTGCAGCAGGACAGTGGCTTATCACCGGGGTCATTGGGTCCTGAAGTATCATTAAGCACCTCTTTTGTACTCAGCACCAAAGACTATGAGCCCATATGCTCTTTAATGGCAGAGCCCAAGGCTCACACCCATGAAAAAAAAACAGACTAACACAGTATGTAGTGTAAGGCTGCATTGTTTAGAGCAGAAAGAAAATGCTGCAGGAATTTGGAGAAGAGCACGAGAATGGACTGCAGTCATTTGGGAAGGTTTTCAACAAGGTAGGAGTTGAACTAGGTCCCTGAAGTAGGCTTTAATTTGGCATAAGAGGAGAGAGAGTTGGCATATAAAAGAAGAGAAAGAGGGTCCACATGAGCAGAGGGGCATGGGTGAGAATAAGTACAACTTATTGTGCAGCGATGGGGGCATTGGTGGTTCAGTGGTAGAATTTTCACCTTCCACGTGGGAGATCTGGGTTCGATTCCTGGCCAATACACTTCATGTGCAGCCGACACTCATTTCTCAGTGGAGGCTTGCATGTTGCTATGAGGCTTTACAGGTTTCAGCAGAGCTTCCAGACTAAGATGGAATAGGAAGAAAGGCCTGGAAATCTGCTTCCAAAAATCAGCCAGTGAAAACCCTATGAATCATAACAGTCCAATTCACAACTAATCATGGGGATGGTACAGGATCAGACAACATTTCGTTTTGTTGGGCATGGGGTCGCATGAGTTGGGGCTGACTGAATGGCAGCTAACAACAACAAGAACAATATTGTACAGTGAGTAAGGAGACTGGCCTGGAATTCCAGGCTGCAGGAGAGGCGCTGGGTGTCGGCCAGTGTAGAGGGGCATCTCCTCACTCTCCAGAGCCTCATCGAGTCATCCTTCCGTCCATCTAGGGGTCACTCACCAAACACGTCCTGACCCTACCTCCTGGCCATATGAAGTCACACTCCATTAGAACTTTTCTAAACATTGCTACAAATAGCTGTATTTTCTCTTTGGTCCTGTAGGACATAATCACCTCTGAAAGTCAGGAACGTCTGGAAATCTGATGTGCTTGAAGTCCCCACACAGGTCGAGAAGCTTCTCTGTTAAAATGCCCGTGATGCAATCACTCTGAGGAAGGGGATGATGAAGGGATTTAATAGTGAGGGGTCTAGAAGAGGGAGAAGAATCAAACTTAAAAAACCTAAACAGAGGCTGTGATAGTCTTGTTTGGCCAAGGAATTGTGATTATGCCAAGTGGGGGTATTATTTCCCATGGTTCAAGGACCATTTCCACCATCTCTCTGGGGTTTTTAAGTTCCACGTTTCCAGAGCCCATCTCTAGCCACACCTCCATAGGATGCTCTCAGCTTCAGAACCATGGACAGCTCTGAGCAGTGCAGGAACTGAAATCCCAGCAGGCAGAGTTAACAACCACATGTATTCATGAATGGAAGTGAAACGGTAAATTTAAAAAGTAGGCACAGAGATAGTGGGACATTCACCATATCGATCATCAGAGTACACAGCACAGAGTAAAACAGAAAATAAGTGGGCATAAATGTCAAAAGTCCAGGTACATAAGAACCATAGCAATCCAGACTCTAATAAAGAAAGGAAAGAGAAAATGAGACACCAGCAAGAAAAATATGGCAAACCTACACCATAGGAGGTCTTATATCTTACCCATGAAGACAAAAGCAAGCAACCCCAAGCCAGGCTGGCCTGAAACTTGCAGGTGCTGTGAGATTATGTACAGGTAAGGATGATGGCAGATCTTGATGGATTCAATTAAGTAGCAACTTGTTCATCTTAAATCCTGCACCCCTTTCCCTGCTGAGGTATTGTCTACATAGAGAGCTACTCTGGAGACTTCAAGGGTGCTCTTATGTAGGGACCCAGATGGGTGAGGCTTTATATCCCAAGGAAATAGGTCAAAGGAAAATCTAGTCTGCCCACTTGGATGGGATGCCATCGTCAACTGGTCCAAACCTCATTCAGAACCTGGAGTCCAATTTTTCAGACCAGATCCAACTCAGATTCATGAGAACCTTCAAATTAACTGGATATTTATTTTTGTGCCTTTTATGAGAAAGAAACAAAAGCAAGAAAACAAGAAAGTTTTAGACTGACAGTTAATGGATGGATGGATGGATGGATGGATTAGATAAGATAGATGGATAAGCAGACAACCCCCCTACACCTTCCATAGCTATCAGCCTCAGGATTGGCTACATAATTTGGAAAGCCTTGTACAAAATGAAAACATGGGCCCCTCATGCACAACTTATAAAGAATCTCAAGACTGCAACAGCAGAGAATTAAACCAAGCACAGGGCCCTTGCACGGGGACACGTGCCTGATAGCTCTCCATGATCAGACTTCAAGTTCCCACACGCCCCTCAACCAGCAAAGCTTATCAAGACTCTTTCATAGCATTTCTGACATCTGCTGCTTCCTATCACAGCCTTTTCAGCCAGATCTTTATTCCTGCACAAGATACCTTCTGATCCCCTTAAAGCCCAGTCCCTCTTCCTCCAATCCACCCCACACATTGCTACCATAATAACGTTCCCCAAATCATAAAACACTAGTGTGTGAATGGCATCGTCTCCTTTCAAAAAATGCAAGAAAAGAGCTTTTGAGAAACAAATAACCAACTTTCCCACCTCATGCAAATCTTCCCCAGCATGAGGCTTGACTTGGAAGGTAAGTGTGAGAACAGATGCAGGAAAGAAGATGCAGCCGTCTGCACGGGGACCCGCATATGAAAATGGAGAAGATGTCAGGCCTACCAACTTGCTTTTGTTTTGTTTAATGCTACCAGAGGCTCAGGCTTTCATTAGAAAAGTAATATGTCTCCAGGAAGGGCCTTCCTGAAATGTATTCAGACAGCCATGGCCCCAATTCAAGGTCTGCCCTTGGGCTTATCAGTGGCAGAGAGCAGCCCAGACCATGTTTTATGGATATTTAAATGATAAAGTCCAACGCCTGCCTTTCTGCTGTCCCTGGACCATTGATCCAATTTGCAAGCCATTAACATTCAGCCAGAATGAGTAATCAGACCCCTGTCAGAGCTGAACCGACTGCCAAGTGCACGCCCAGCCTGGGGTGGATCCTCGGGATAGGAATTGTATGGAAAATGCCACTAATTCCAATTTAATTACTGTGCCTTTGGTAATCTTGGTTGTTGTTAACATCAATTAAAAAATTCTAATTTAAGTGGGAAGGTTTGTTGTAGTTAAGGAAGAAGCTGGTGAGGAAATTTCTTAAGGTTTGGCTCTTTCTCCCCCGTCACTCCATGGATTCACCCCACCAAGGACCAGATCCAGATGACCTTGCAAGCCACAGGGACCCGCTGGCCTCAGCACCTCCTCCCCCACTCCCTTAGTTGTGGCTGCAGCTGACTGCCGGACTGCCCAGCACACACTGCAGTCAGCCGTGAGAGCCATCTTGCTTTGCACTGAGGCCTCACCTCTTCACATGCTCGCCCCCACCTCAGCCTGCCCACCGCTCAGTCCCTTTCTCTTCCCTTCCCACTGCTCCCAAATATCAATTCCCAGCTGTGCCGTGACACAGCAGCCTAGAGGGACAAGACGTAATTGCACGCTGCACCAGGACACCTGGCAGAGAGATGCATGCTGCCCTCTGGGTTTTCACTGCTCCCGGCCTGCCTGTAATTCTCCTGTTAACAAGAGCTTATGGCAAGACAGTTGTTTCTAGTTTTCAGTGTGTTCCTGTATGCAAGATTGAATTTCAGTGTTGGATGAAGAAACTAAGCCTCAAAGAGGTTGGGTGACTTGCCCAAGGTCACACAATGATTCAGTCACTGAGATGAAAATCGTGGCATGCTTTCCGGCAACTTCCAATCTTCTGTGGATCACCCGCCAATGCCTTCCCCCAAGTGCCCTTTCCCCCATGCCCCGACAAGGAGCGCTGCCAACCAGGTTGAACACATCGTGGCAGACACCACCGTAGCTTTCCCCTTGTGGTTGATATCACCTGCCTAACTTGTTGCTGTGTTTATCTAGACTTGCCAATGCAGATCCTGAAGCCGGCCACCTTTACGGACACAGCCCACTATCCCCTGCTCCTGGTGGTGTAAGTATTGGTGCTTCTTTCTTTGTTAGGGCGTTTGCATTGGGAATCAGTAACACCATGCAAAACGAATATTCAGCGCTTAAGAAAAATTAATGATAAGCAGGAGAAATGATATTGTTGTAAACTAGAAACTAAAAGACAATTTAGCTTATCAGCAAATGCAAGGTTCTTTGGGTAAATATTGGTGACCTCCAGAGGTTAAAGGAAAGTAGAGGTTACATAGCCTCTGTCCCCAAACTACTTCTGGGCAATTTATTGCAATGAATGTAGGTCGTGAATCCAACTCCAAGCATGCAGCAGTGACTGAATGACAGTTCAGAAACAGTTGCAAAGGCTGATGGAGGGAGTCAGGCTGGCACCTGCGTGAAAGGCTCACTCTGAGGTTCCCAACAATATTTGGGGGCCAGGACTGGTGAGCCTTAGAGTCAGGCAGGGGACAGTGTCTCCGGAGACACTTGAGTGACTCAGGATGGATGCAGCCTCAGACCTGGAGGGCCACGCTGTGGTCTCAGACTGTTGGGCCAGCCTGCTTCTTACCCTCCAGTTATACAAGGGCACTGGGGTTGGAACAATCTTTGTAGCTACTACACTGCCTTCAACACCATTCGTTTGCCAAGAATTATCTCCAGTATTCCTTATGCTACTTAACAAACCCTCTGGTTTCGATGTGGAGAATAATAAGTGCTATATCGAGCCCTCTGAAGGTGTTGAGTCCTAATTAGGGTAGTTTGCATCTAAGTAAGGATCCTGCCTACTCTGATTAACGTGCTTCAAAGACTATCATCCTGGGGTTTGGATGAAAGTTAACTTGCACTCACACTGCCCACAGAAGCATTTTTAAAGTGAGGTACCACCCAGACAAGTTAACAGATACTCTTAGTCACTTCCCAGTATGTTCTGTCAGGGCCTGTGGGCCATGAGAAAAATAAGCTGGTCTTTACTTTAAAAGGGTCAGGATAGAGCAGAGGTCTGCACTGGGGCTATTTTTGGGACGACAGTGCAGCTACCCACCTGAGTAAATGTGACCCTGCTCCCATCCAGGGGATGTGGCCACTAGGTGACAAAAAGCCTTCATTATAAAGATGTCTGTGGCATGGGTTCCAAGATCTGATTACATTTTGCAATTCATCCACTTTCCTCACTCTTTGAACTGAGCCCTTTGCTAACACCCCCCTACACACACGCGTGTGCGTGAGTGCACACTTTCCACTCTGCCTCCTTTTCTCCCTTATTAACGGAGAATTTTCACAACACTTTCAAAGATGCTGATGATTTCAAAGCTGGCCTTCCTTCCCCTGATCACCAATTTCTTCAGTAATCTTGAGAAAATCCTGAAGTGGTCCTTAGGTTTGCAAAATAATTGGCTTTCCTTTCAAGAGTAAAAATGGCAGAAGCCATTAAAGGGCAGCCTGTGACTTCAAGAATTCATGTAGGGCCTGAAGATAGCTATTCACTGGTACAAACTGTAATATCCTCATTAGCTAGCCTACAAGCCAGAGGCTTTTGGCTTCTTTGTTTCTTGCTATGACTTTAAATATGACAGCAACAAGGTTTGGGGGCTCCAGGACTGTAAAGGAACTGTACTGGGTGGTGCCTGTTTAAAACAAACACATCCCAAAGACAGCAACCACACATGCTTCACATATAGCAATGTCACAATGAAGCAACAATCCTTTGTCATTTAGCCCTCAGATGCAGTACTCTGGGGTCACACACTCTTTCCTTCTTCTCCCCACTCACCCTCCACCTCACACTGCACTTTCCTGAGTCATTGACAGAGAGCCAAGACAGCAGAGGCAGCAGGGGCTGTCATCTCTTTGGAGAATAGGATCAGCTAGCACGTCTTCAGTTGGCTCAGCTCTCAGAAAGGATTATTGTTATCTGTTGCTGGACCTAGAGTTGACCTTCTCTCCTGCTCATACTTTCTCCACCAGAAGCAAAAGGCATTAAATAGCCTTCCCACAACCAGTGGTTTGCTGGTTCTTCAACAGAGGGCCTGTTATAGCACTGGCCAATTTCCCTGGTGTAAATACTCCACCAGGGATTTTACGTTACCAGAGTGACATCACTGCGTCACTGAGATGGGATGGCCTTGATAACACACTGCCTCCAAGTGAACAGGCTGCCTCGCTTTCTGAAGAGATGTGCATGAGGAAGGACTTGTATGTTGTTTCTTCTAATTTAACCAAAGGGAAAGACAATTCTTTTAGGGGTGCCCCAAAAGAAGCAAACACACTCTTGTCCCTCATGTGTAAGGACTGAGGTAGAGACGTCTAGGCCCTGGGGAGGAGTTAGACCAGGATGGGGAGAGGGAAGACAGGCCCTGGGGAAGACAGAAAGAGTATTACAATATTGGGGAAGCACACCAGAAAGAGAGGCTGGGAGGCTTTTTAACAAAGTTTTTTCTCTCTGAATAAATGCTCTTTAATGACTGTCTGCGATGTGCCCTTTCTTGAAGGATGGCGCTGATGTCTTAGGCAATCTGAGCCCTCGCTTTCCTCATCACCCCATGGGTATACGGTTAATGCCCTGCTTACCCCACCTGGGCAGCAGAACCTGGGGCTGTGGAATTGGGCTGATGGCAGCCAGGGGTGATGGGTGGAAACTCTTCGGAGGGAACCCACAGCACACGGTGTTGTTAGACAAGCTCCACCACATAGGGCTGAGGCCTTGGATCATCTTTTCCAGGGATGGAGCCCCGGGGAGCCAGAGCGTGGCTGAGAAGTTTGAGGTGAACTGGGAGACGGTAATGGTGAGCAGCCACGGAGCTGTGGTGGTGAAGTGTGATGGCCGTGGCAGTGGGTTCCAAGGGACCAACCTGCTGCATGAAGTGAGGAAGAAACTGGGCTCTGTGGAGGAGAAGGACCAGATGGAAGCTGTGAGGTAAGCTCCCATCCCTGGCTGGCATCATTGAAAGGGAGCAGGCAGAGGGAGGACACAGTCTCCTAATGGGCTGGGCCACTGGGATCAGATTGTTTCTCATCAGTGCACACATTGTATGTGCACCTTTCTCAGACTTACAAAAAACTCTGTGGGCAATTCCAAATGTTGAGAGAAACTATTCGTAACATTCTCCTGAAGACTGTGATGGTAGTTTTCTGGAAGTTAGGTGACTCGTTTGATTAGTTGACCAAAACAAGGTCTACAGAGCTGGAGACTGAGAAGTGGATCTCCCCATAGGCTGCTTGGTGTCTCTATATTATGGCCACAGGCCTTGGCCAGTACCCACACACACACTGTCATTCAACACAAGGGACGGAGGTGGGAGGGAAGGGCCAGGGAGGAGGGAGGGAAAGAGAATGCAAGTGGGTCACCCTCATTACCCAGGAAAGGGCCCTGTACATACCCAGGGGGTGGTCAGAAACATAGTCCTTAATTCTGAAGAATGGCACATTTTTTATTGAGGTGAAATTCACATGACATAAAATTAACCATTTTAAAGTGTACAATTCAGTGGCATATAGTACACTCACAATGTAGTGTAAGCATCACCTACATCAAGTTCCAAAACATTTCATCACCCCAAAAGAAAACCCCGTACCCATTAAGCAGTCACTTCCCATTCCTCCCTCCTCACAGCCTCTGGCAATCTCCAATCTGCTTTCAATCTCTATGGATTTACCTATTCTGGACATTTTATATCAATGGAATCATGCAATATCTGGCCTTTACTATCTGGCTTCTTTCCCTTAGCACAGTATTTTCAAGGATCATCTGTTGCAACAGCGTAAATACTTCATTGTTTTATATGGCTGAATAATATTCCATTGTATGGATACACCAGTTTTATTTCCCCGTTCATCAATTGATGAATATTTTTGTTGCTTCCACTTTTAGGTTATTATGGATATGATACTATGAAAATTCTCGTACAAATTTTTGTGTGAACATATGTTTTCAGTTCTCTTGGGTATATCACTAGGAGTGGAATTGCCAAGTCATGTGGTAGCTCTATGTTTATCTCTTTGAGGAGCTGCCAAACTCGTTTACACAGCAGCTGTACCTTTTTACTCTTCTGCAAGCAGTGGACGAAGGTTCCAGTTTCTCCACATCCTTGTCGTCACTTGTTATTTTCTGGTTGTTTATTTAAGCTATCCTAGTAGGTGTGAAGTGATATCTCACAGTGGTTTTAATTTGCATTTCCCTGATGACTAAAATGTTAAGCATCTTTTCATGTGCTTGTTGGCCATTTATATATCCTCTTTGGATAAATGTCTATTCAGCCTTCGCCCATATTTTTTTAATTGGGTTGTTTGTCTCTGTGTAGAATGATACATGTTTGTTTTGTCATTCCTTCACATCCCTATCATTGAGTCAGCAAGACCAACAGAGTGTTGGAGAGAACAGAAAGAGGCTTAGAGCCGAGGGATAGATGCTCACAATTATTTATTGAATTTTCCTTTTAACTGGAAAAAAGACATCAAGAACTTGTGCCAGGCTACCACTGGCTTCAGGCCCACTTTGCAGAAATATAAGTTTCGTAGTGATATGGTGTAGGGAAGTAACCACCAAGAGATGTTACAAGAACAACTGAACCCACTCTACAGACTCAGTACTTGGAAAGGCTAAAAGGGCAAGAAAACACATATATAACAAGGGCTTGAATAGTGACGACTGTCATCTCCTCATCCTGAATAGGGGTGCATGATGTTTGACCCTGGGCACATAGAGGAGGTAGATACAGTGCCCAGCATAATAAATATCTGTTGACCAAATAACTAAATAACCTTGGCATCCCTATACCTGTTATCATGCTTGTATGCTTTGCAAGTTTAAAAGATTTGACCTTGGCCAGTGTCTGCACACATCCTTGCCATTCAACACAAGGGGGAGTGAGAGAGAGGCAGGGGAGGGGGACCTTTTAAAAGCGTGTTCTGTCTTCTTCTAAAAGATTGATGGCATATGGTAAGTACTCAGTAACTGTTTGTAAAATGATGAAGCAATGAGTGAATGAATTAATGGCCCCCTCTTCTTAAGGGAGTTATGAGCTAGTTGAAAAGAGACAAGGCAACAAGTTCAAACCCTGTGTGTGTTACAGACGGTAAGTGCAGAGGAGGGAGGAGTCTCAGAGGCTGAGATAGTCAGGCAAGGTGTATCTGTGAAGATGCTTTTGTCTGGAAGTTAACAACAACAACACACACACACAATTCAAACATGCTTTAAGATTAAGGAGCTGTATTGGCTCGTATAACTGGAAATCCAGAGATGTGGGAGACCTCCTCAGGGTTGATTGATCCAGAAGCCCAGCAGTGCCCTGAGACACCCAGGCTTCCCGACCTCATCTCTCAGCCAACCACAATGGCCTCCTCCTGTGGCTGGTTCTCCTCATGCTCACAGATGGCTGTCAGTATACCTGGCTCCAGGCTTCTTCATCGATCTCCCACAGGTTGGAGAGGGGGCCACTTCCAGAAACCCTTCCAGCAAGGAAGAGGAGGGCCTTGCCAGAAGAACACAGCAAACTTCTCACATCACACTGGCCCTAACACGTCCATTCCAAAGCCAGTCACAGACAAGGGATGTGCAGGCAGCTACCCAGAGACCAGCGGGCCCACCCTGAGCCTAGGCATGGGGTCAACCTGGGCAGGAGTGGAGGGTGGGTAACAGAACAATTAGGGGTTATGGTAGGAAGGAGGAAGGGCAGGAGCTGGTGGACTAGTGACCAGCAGTGTCCACTACAGCAGGTGGGGCCAAGCTGGGCTTGGAAGTGGGAGTGGGACTCAGGTTAGCAGCCATGTGAGGGCGTTCCTTGCCGACAATGACATAGCAAAGCCTCTCCCCGTCTCTGTCCTTTCTCCTCCAGTCTTTTTCCATTTGCTCCTGCTTTCTCTTGTTGCCTCCTACCCTTCCCTCTCCCCATCCTGCTCTAACTCCTCCCAGTGCAGCTCAGGGGCCTCCTCCAGCCCCACCTAAGTCCGGCAGGCTGACCGCCTGGCTGACTTGCAGGCTCTAGGCTCCATCTAGCTCTTCCCCTGATAGCACAGGAACAAAAGGGTAAGAGGCTGTTTCACACTCCCATCATTTTCTGAAAATAAGGAATTGACCCAGCCATCTGTAGGAAAACAAGGTAGAACCTGTTTAGAGAAAACAGTAAATAATGTCAGCTCTTAACCACTGAAGCCTGCAAGAATGAGAACACAAACATTGCAGAGCTTATAGCCATCGTAAAGCATACAGACTCTTAGGAAGCTGGTAAACAGATGTTTCCAGCCACAGAAACCTTTACAAAGCTTTCTTCCAGAGCTGGATCTGTATTTTTATTAGTCAGTGTCTTAGTCATCTAGTGCTGCTATAACAGAAATACCACAGGTGGATGGCTTTTAACAAAGAGAAGTTTATTCTCTCATAGTCCAGTAGGTTACAGGTCCAAATTCAGGGCATCAGCTCTAGGAAAAGGCTTTCTCTCTCTGTCGGCTCTGGAGGAAAGTCCTTGTGATACATCAGTCTTCCCTTGGTCTGGGAACATCTCAGCGCAGGAACCTCAGGTCCAATGGACGCGCTCTGCTCCTGGCACTGCTTTCTTGGTGGTATGAGGTTCCCATGTGTCTCTGCTTGCTTCTCTCTTTTATATCTCAAAAGATATTGGCTTAAGACACTATCTAATCTTGTGAACCTCATCAGTATAACTGCCACTAATCCATCTTAGTAGATCATAGTGATTGAATTTACAACACATAAGGAAATCTCATCAGATTACAAAATGGTACACAATCATACAATACTGGGAATCATGACATAGCCAAGTTGACAGACATTTTTGGGGGGACACAATTCAATCCATGACAGTCAGAAAGAAGTAGCCCAGTTTTATCAGAAGTTTTAAAAATCAGGAGGCAGCTCACTGCTTGAAGTCTCTAAGCCCCAGGGCCTGTTGGCAGCTCTCCTCCTTCCTGATCCTTTCCTCCAGGAGCTCAGCGCGTAGCAGTTCCCATCAGCAGGTAACACAAGCAAAGCGCCCTCCACAAGCAGGAGCCCCTTGTAAGGTGAGAGGACATTACGTAAGCATCCTCCTCAGTGGGCTCCTCCTTGAGCAGGGCATCAGCTAGGGTCTGGCCAGCAGTCCAGCACTAAAGCAGTTGAATACACTACACAGGACACATTCCTGAGAGGCAGGGGTGGATTTTCCAATAGGCAAGGTAAGCACAGTGCTTAGCCTGCTTACCAGTTCATCTGTAGTAAACAATTTCACACTTTTTCACTACATCAAAGAGTCTGCTTCTAGGTCTGGCTGGCATCTGTCTCTCTCCCAACCCCACAGCACTTTCCTACAGAATCAAAGCGTCTTTTCACATTTATAATCCTTGACAGGGGCAGATGACCCAGTAAGCCAGGTAAACACGGGCTTATTTGTGCTTACTTATGAACCTGTAGTGAACAATTTCAGAGCTAGGTCTTTCTTAGAATTTCCTCTGTGCCGTCTGCAAACCCTGATAGGGAACTGAAGTCAGTACATGTACAGTAAAGAAGGTGGCTTTATTGATTCAGGTTCATTTCTTTGTTTTGCTCCAGGCCATCCCCGATAGTAAAAATACACCATATGTATGAAATGTTTTAGGGTATTTTTACCTCAGGGACCTGGTTTTCATTAGGAAAAAAAATATCACACAAGATTTGCTCAGTTGCTTAGTCAGAATATAGCTACAGGATAATAAAATATTTGATATTAAAAAAAAAAAAAAGGAGACAGCTATTCTTGGAAGATTCCAGAGTATTTTATAAATGAGGATCATTACCCAGATTTTTATTTTTTAGACTAGAAAGTGAGAGTCACCAGGTAATTAGATGAAGGAGTCACCAAAGACCCAAGTTGCCTCTGACTTAGCAGCAGGGCTGAAAGGAAAAGTCCAAGTTTTTTATGAACTGGAATACAGCCCAAGACCCTGGCTCCCATGCCCTTCCTAGTGTGGCTGGCACATTCCAAGCCCCATGGTCTCCACAGGCAATGGCAGAGATCCACAGCAGATGTGGTCTGGGACCTCCTGCCTTGGGGCAAAACCCTCATGGGACCAGGCTGACTGATTGTGACAGAGACGTTGGTCATGAAGAGAAAATTCAGGAGCTTGGAGAAATGTAGTCACTGTCTCCAGTCATGTGGCTATACCTGCCATGTTCCTTAACATGTTACCTAAGAAGTGTGTGTATGCGTACACACGCGTGTGCACGCACGTACATGCGTACACGTGCATATATGCATGCACATTCCCAAGTTCAAGCCTGGGGACATTCTTTGAGGTTAACCAGTCTATCCTGTGATAACTGCACACCATTTTAAAAAGCAAGTTTATAAAAGACTTAAATCAATAACAAGAATTTCCCTTGCCTACTCCTGTCTATCCCCCAGTCTTGATGCCCAGAGGCAACCTCTCTCAACTCTTTTAGTTATGTCTTCAAGCATTCGCCTCCATATTCTGCATATAATTATTGTTACTCGTGATTTCTCTATTTTAAGCAGTACTGTTGACTTCCTGTTGTAGCAGAGGAGGAGGTAGCTCTCCTGAGCCACCATTCCCTCTTCCTCTCCCTCTACCCTTCCCATATTGTTCTATCAAAACATTTGGTTAAATCAATAGTCAGAGAGGCATGGTATAACTGTATAAATATTGTTCACTGAAGAGCCAAGTGGCATACTTAAATGGCTTACTTTTCTGTATGTCTTTTAATTTTTTCCTGGAATTATTGCTTTGTCATTTTACTTGAGGAGTTTTCTATGTACGTATTTGTAATATTTCCCAATTGTTTTCTCATGCCAGCCTTATTTCTAGAAGTTTTTTTTTTTCCAAATGCTTTATCAATTCCAACTTTTTTCTTGAAATCCACCACCACCTTTTTCTCCTCCATTTTGGGTAGGTTGTCTCTAGGCTCAATTTAGGACTTCCCTTCACTACTTTCTTTTGTTGTGTACTGTGCACATACATATAACACAGCGTACCCTAAACAATAAAAATGTCTTCCTCTTTCTTTATTCCTTTATTTTTATAGAACATGTCTAAAAATGTCTTTATCTTCACATTTGATATTATAGTTTGGCTAGATATAAAATCTAGGTAGAGAACAGTTTCTATCTAGAATGCCTTGGAATCTACCGTTTGTGTGGCTGTGAGAAAAACTATGTCATTCTATTTGCTAATCTTGTATATGGCCTGTTTCTTTTTTGCTTTCAGAAAAAGGATTCCTTATTCATGGCATTCTGAAATTTTAGTGATGTGCCTTGGTGTGGACCTTTTCAATTGGAGAATAATGTCCTTCAGTCCTGGGAAGTTTTTAGTATAATTTTTTGATAATTTCTTCACTTCTCTTTTCTTTATTCTTTATTCCTGGAACTTCTATTGTGCTGATTTTGGTACTCCTGAATTTATTCTCTGTACTTTTTTAAAAATTATTTTTCAACCTTCTGTTAATTTTTTACTTTTAGGTACGATACCTTAAAATTTCTAAGACCTCTTCTTGATAAAAGAGCGTACTATTTTTGTTTTATATATCTTTTGTCTTCTTTAATATATTAGTAGTAGTTTTCTCAAAGTTTTCTTCTGTTCACTGCATTATGTCTGTTTCTTCTGGTTTTCTTATGTTTTCTGTTTTGGTTTTAGTGTAGTCTTTTTCATATGGGAATATTTCTTAGATTTCTTGTGAAACTCCATTGCCCCTTCATTTATAAGAGAGGGGCACATAAAAGCTGGATGCAAGTTCTCCATGTAGAGTGTGACCTGTTGGCAGGTGGGCTTCATTGAGGGTGACCAGGGTAATCCAGCTTTTCGCTGGGGAGACCCACTCAGTTTCATGGTGTATTTTTCTCAGGGAATAATTAGTTTCTCAAAAAGATAACCTGCTGGTCCCTTGACAGAACAGTATATATCCGATTTCCTGTATTCTAAGAGTAAGTCTGGAAGAAGGATGGGGGAAGGGCAACACTCAGAGTGCAGACTTACACTTAATTTGCTTGTTTACAGTCCCATATTTTACCCCCTACCTTCACTGAGCCTAATGTCGCAAGGTCTGGAGTCTGTTCCATTTCTCTAGAGAACTGAAAAGTTTAAATGACGTGTCTGAAGTTTCCACAGCTCCTTAGTAGCTGAGCAGAAATTGAACACAAGGTATTTTGACTTAATTAGAACGTAAACTTCTTGAAGACAAAACCAAACCAAAACCCAAACCCATTACCATGAAGTCTATTCCAACTCATGGTGACCCCATGTGTTACAGAGTAGAATTGCTCCACTGGGTTTTCTTGGCTGTAATCTTTATGGAAGCAGATAACCAGGCTTTTCTTCTGTGGAGCCACTGGGTGGGTTCAAACTGCTAACCTTAAGTTAGTAGACTAGTAGTCGAGCGCAAACCATTTGCGCCACCCAGGGACCTTTCTTGAAGCAGGGACTATAAATTATACAGTATTTGTTCCTAAGAACTAGCAAAGGGCCTTACGAATTGCAATACAGGCAGTCCTAGGGTTATGAATGTCTGATCTATGGACAACTCATACTTGCCCTTTAATGTTATGTAAATTTGCCCTCACTTTGAAACGATTGGACCAACCTCTACTCTCAACAAATTTTTCATCACAATCACCTTCACTTGCTGCACATGCAGCTTTTAAATCGTTGAAAAGTCTTGGAGCCTTTTCTTGCACTGAAGTGAGACTAAATAAGAACCGGGTGCACCTGCTCTGACTTACCAACAAATTCTTAAAGACACACTTAGGAACAGATCTCGTTCGTGACCAGGGGACTGCCTATACAAAGAAGTCTAGGAAATGTCTGTCATGTGGAAATTGCTGCTTCAAGCTGGGGCATCCCCCTTACCTGGCATCTTCTATTTGTTCTGCTGCTAGCCGTGGAAGCACTGTTGTAACCAGGAACAGCTGATGGACTTGGTTACCTGGAGGTTTACTCTCTCATTGGGATGCCCAGAAGGGTAGTTATCAATGATGTGAGTGGCCAGATCCAGCCAGCAGAACATAGCAAACAGAATGCAGCAGTAGTATATAGTAGTGCTAGAATATAACCATCATCAGGTAGGTAGGAGTAGGAGTAATTGGGAATTGAGATGGAAGGAGATTGTGACTGTGGATTAGCCTGTGGAAACAGGCCATATTTGGAGATTCAAAGAGCAGCAAGCAATCAACAGGGGACTCTGCCAGCAGGTGGCAGGACTGCTGCTTCCCAATTCAAGTCCAGAAACAAGAAAGACCCCAATCACTTTGTGGGGGCAATAAGGGACCACAGTGGGGGAGGGTGGGGAGACACTGGTGAGACAAAGGCAGGGACCCAGGTAAAGTCAGGCTGGGGCACTTAGCTAGTTGTTTCCAATGCAGGGCCCCAGAGGTCCAAAGAAGGACTGATTCTGCCACCCTAATGGCGAAAGAGAGGGACCTCCTCCCAGGAACGGGACAAGGGACCCTGTAGGTGCGTGACTCTAATGCCTGCAGCAGTGAGCCAGGGCTCCTCACCCTGGAGGACTCTCCCCAAGCCTGGGGGAAGCAGAGCCTGGGGGTAACGTGGGGAAAAGGGCCACGGGAGGGCAGGACCTGAAAGTTTCCGAAGACTGGACTCTGTTTCTTTGGATTACGATTTCTCAATCTGCAGGCTTTATATGCTTGGAGTTATTGCAAGGGGGCTTTGAATTTTTATATGGAAATATTGCCTATGTACTAAATAAATAAAAGCACTACAACAATTACATGAGAATTCCAGTATTTCCTTTGATTTAAAGGGGATTTTCATACTTGAAATGGTTGGAAAGCACTGCTCCAGGCGACGGGGAAAATGCAATCATGATATCCATTTGAGCACTAAATCCTCTCTCTCTTCTTTGACCTTGCAGGAAGATGTTGAAAGAACAATACATTGACAAAACACGTGTTGCTGTGTTTGGGAAGGTGAGTCAGTGCAGTCTTCTGTGCCAAACACCCTTGGTTCAGTAACTTTAAACTGCTTCATCATTCAGGCCTAATCTTGATTTATTGAGAATGTCTCTGGTTTGGTGGCGTGTGAGCAATTGCTTTTTTGAAAAGCGAGAGGTTAGCTACTTAGTGATTCCAGCAATAGGAACTTTTATTTGATGCACTCATTTATCAATGTACCTTTGTACGTTATCAGGAAGGAAAGAAAAAGAGAAGGCAGGTACTTGCTGAAGAGGTCTATTAGGTTCTTAATTACTTTTCTGACATGAGCCTGCTCTAGCTCTTGGTCTGGTGCCACTGGCAGAGAAAGGAAGGCAGCAGTCTTCATTTCTGTAAGTCTTTATGCAACTACATTCATTTACCAGGTTTATTGAAACGGGAGGAAGGGAGTAGGGAGGTTCATGCACGGAACCATCAAACCAGAGAAGCTGCAATCCTGGTGGCCCATGTCAGAAGGCTGAGGCCTGGGGCTAATGGAGGCCCATGGCTGGGCGTTAAGTCCCTGGAGAGCCAGTTAGCATTCACCTGGTCCCTGCCTCCCTGCGTGGTAAGGATCGGCATGAATCCAATCCCCAAAATGTGGAGATTGATCCACTTCTCACACTCCCACTTCTGGGGTCAGGGAGGGCTCTGGCTGGTCATCTTTTGTCACCATCCTGCCTGCAAGTATCCCCATGCCTTTTCAATAATGCAAGTATCTTAACACTCCTTACGTCAAAGTTTGGTGGACCCCGTGATTGATGTCTCCTCTGAGGACACAGCTATCAGTTGTTGTAGCTAATTGGCACCCAACAACCTCCCCACGCTGTCCCTTTTACAGCTCACCTTACAGTACATAGCCTGCAATTTCACATCCTGTTTATTGTCACATTTGGTCTTCATATCACGCAAAACTGAGACTCAAAACAGAGGAAGACTCGCATCACATAGTATTTAGTTGGAAAGATATTTACTTTTCCAAAAGAAGCCGTCAGGCGCCAGAAGAAAGGAAATAATAAGAATTAGAGCAGAATTAAATGAAATAGAGAATAGAAAAACAATTGAAAGAGCTAACAAGACTAAAAGCTGGTTTTTTGAAAAGTGTCTTAGGCTGGGTTCTCTAGAGAAGCAAAACCAGTAAAGCGTATAAATATATATAGAGAGAGATTTATATCAAGGAAATAGTTCACGCAGTTGTAGAGGCTAAAACGTCCCAAGTCCACAGATCAGGGTAGAGGCCTCTCCCAGTTCATGTAGTCGCTGAAGGTGGTGAACCCAAGATCAGCAGGTCGGAGAGGGGCTTCCGTTCACAGGCTGTGAAGGTCAGTGAGTTCCAAGATCAGCAGACAAGACAATCAGATTTCTCCTGATTCACGTAGCTGCAGGGGCTGGCAAACCCAAGGTCCACAGATCGGGAAACTGGACTCTTGCTTGCAGGCTGAGAAGTTCCACAAATTCTGAGATTAACAGGTAAGCTGCTAGCTCAAGTCCCATGAACCAGAGGTGAGACAACAAGAGGCAGCTGCTGAGTCTGGAACAAGCCAAAAACCTTGGCAAGGCGAGCAGGCAGAAGGTAATCGGCGGAAGGCAGAGAGATGAAACTGAGAGGGCGGTGAGCTGCCAGAGGCCCTGCCTCTGCCAGTACCACTCAGCAGATTCCATCATGGGGGTGATCACGACATTATATAACTACTAAAACACTGAGAATAATGGTCTAGCCAAGTTGACATACAATCTTAACCATCATAAAAAGATCGACAAAATCAACAAACCGTTGGCCAAACTGACAAAAGAAAAACAGGAGAGGAAGCAAATAACCTGTGTAAGAAATGAGATGGGTGATATCACAACAGACCCAAATGAAATTAAAAGAATCATAACAGAATACTATGAAAAATTATACTGTAACAAATTTGAAAACCTAGAGGAAATGGACAAATTTCTAGAAACTCACTACCTACCTAAACTAACACAAACAGAGAGAGAACATCTAAATAAACCTATAACAAAAGAAGAGACTGAAAATGTAATTTAAAAACTCCCAACAAAAAAAAGCCCTGACCTGGACAGTTTCACTGGAGAATTCTCCCAAACTTTCAGAGAAGAGTTAACACCACTACTACTAAAGGTATTTCAGAGTATAGGAAAGGATAGAACACTCCCAAACTCATTCTATGAAGCCAGCATAACCCTGATACCAAAACCAGGTAAAGACACCACAAAAAAAGAAAATTACAGACCAATATCCCTCAT